TGATAAAAAGAAAATGTAGTAAGTTGAATCAACCTTGAAGTAATCAGGTCAAAAGAAAAGAAAAACCACGATGTAATTATTACTAATTAATGTTTGGCAAAAAAAAAATATTGGTAATTAATGATTAACCCAAAAGTTTTCTGAGTCCTTTTTCCTTCGGTAACATGTTAATTTCTCAGTCTTATTATAATTATGATCAAATCAAAAGACATAACCTTAATTAAGGCAGGCTTCTTCATTCTCATCGAATATGTAACAAACAGCCTATCTCTTTAGCAAATCTGATAAGATAGGAAACAAAAACTCAAATACGTACGTAAGCAACCGTAAACCCATTCAGAAACACCGATCGATCAATAAGGGCTTCAAAAATACATCGATCGAATCAATGAAAACAAAAGTTTTCAAACTATTATAATTGGCACAAAGAAATAAAACAAACTCAAACATGCATATATTGAGACTCATCGAAATCATTTTTCTTTTTCAATTCAATGTTTGTAAAAGTTTAGATAAGTTAGATTTCAATCTGGTTCATGATATTTCTCAAGAAAAAATTGCTACGAAGTCCCGAAAAAAGAAATATAAGAGGGGGCGTCGGTCTGCTACCCACTGCTGCTCCTTAATTTTGGGGCTCTTCCCAATATTTTTTTTGTGATTCTTTTTATTATTAGATTCTAAATAAAATTAGTGATATTTTATATCTTTTTGCAAAAAATGTTTTAGTTTTCAATTTTTTATGATTTTTAAAGATTTAGCACTTTAAATTGTTCTATTCTTTTTAACTGAGTGTTAAATCTTTGAAAAATAAAAAAAAAAAAAAAGACTATTTTTGGCAAATAAGATATCAAAATTTCATTCATTTTATATAGAATCTAATGGTAAAAAGAATCACAAAAAAAAAAAAAAAGGGACGACCCCAAAATTAAGAGGCAGCAGGGGGCAGCACCCAAGGGGCAGCTAATCATCCTCCTCTCAAAATATAATTACTAAAAGGTTTCACTGACAACGGAGCAGCTTGCAAAGATTAGTTTCATGATATGAAATGAAAACTGTTCATTTATTATTAAGACTTACCAGTAATTATTTTCTTTTTTTAAGATCTCATTATAATTCTCTCATTTGTCAAGCTCGCAAATATACTCTCAAAGCAGTATACGTGACACCATCAATAAGGTTTTTACATTGACAATAGAATTCAAGCCGGCATCCTTATGAGATATGATTGTATTTTTATGGATTAGATCAGCTTTCGCAATGCCTCTTATTAATATCTAAAAAGGTGCTTATAGATATATTTATAAATTATCTATTAATTAATATGATACTACCTTTAGTCTTTAATATAAAAGCTCATTTAACTTTTATTAGATATGATTGTATTTTTATGGATTAGATCAGCTTTCGCAATGCCTCTTATTAATATCTAAAAAGGTGCTTATAGATATATTATAAATTATCTATTAATTAATATGATACTACCTTTAGTCTTTAATATAAAAGCTCATTTAACTTTTATTTTGATCATAAATATAAGACTCCAATTAACTTTGTTTTCATATTTATATATATTTTCTCAAAGTAATACTTATATAATGATATTTCCAGCTAATACACTTGATTAGTAAGGATATTTTAAGAAAGACAAACACTTATTTATTACAAATAATTAACTTAACTAATTTTTAATCTACTTAAATTAGTCAATCATTATTAAAAGGTTCTTTGGACTAAGGCTTTATCAGAGTTCGTGAACAACCAAAAACCTTGCTATGATATGAATGCATGCATATATATATTCGATTTGCTCGAAGTGGTCCCTTAATATGCTGATGAGTCTAAGGAAGTTGGTGGTGAAGACAAGGCATAAATTGAGGGTCACGTTCAATGTTCCTAATTCATGGACGATGTTTTGTTATACAACTTTACAACTATGAGAATTAATTAGTCGAACGCAGAAATCTTGGGAAAAAAAATGTACAACAGCAACATAGAAAGTCAAATTCATGGAAAGCAACTAGCTAGCTGCTTGATGGAAGACGACATCATGGATCATAATTCACCATGTTTTTTGGTTCAAACGTTAACCTTTTGTCAACTGCTGATTCAGTTCTTGTCCTTCTTACCCAACAAAAATTAAAAGCCACCGTCTTTCCTCCAAAGTCTTAGGCCGCCGCTAGCCCACAATATTCCATACCACTCACCTTCTTGTACTATATTATCATTATATCTTTTACTTTTTCATTCCAATTATGCTCTAATATCGTATCATGTGCTTTTTATATTTTTCTAACGTTTAATATAATAGCTAACTAATTAATTTTAAAATATTAAAAAAATAGTTAAATGTAATAACTTCTTCAAAACCTTTTTAGTTATGTGCATTAGTAAAATATATCTTTGGTAGGAATATCTTACAATCAATAAGAGTATTATAGAGAAAAAAATTATAAAGACATAATAAATTTACTTCTTATATTTAGGATCAAATTAAACTTCTTAATTAGTTCTCGATAGAGTGCCTGTATATATATTATTAATTTATTAATTATTAGCATTTAATGCACGTACACATGCCACTAGAGTTTCTTCCATCACCACCACAATCTCAAACTTTTCTCAGTCAACTTAATTGGCTTGATGTGAGAATGTGTGGCTGATTTGTATACATCGTGTGGGGAAAATCCTACGCTAGTTTCAAACGATTCAATTTGTTTGCTTTTTTGTTGTCATTAATATATGAATAAAACCATCATTTAAATTGCGAATATTAACTACTTGATTATATATAGTTGCAATAATTTAAGTCCAGCTGTGGTTAAAAATATTTTATTTTGTCGGGAAAAATTTTCATTTTAAATGTTTACTTCTAGCCAAGATCGATATTCCTAATTTTAGTTTTGATTAAATTAGCGGCGCGGCTCGTACATCAAAACCGTTTTTAAAGCCGGTAAAAAAAAAAAAAAAACTCTCTCTGTTTTTTTGTTTAAAAAGTGAATTAAAAGCCAGAATAATGATGGCAAAATGAAGAAACGAGTTACATTATTTATGAATCTTGCACGTTTTTGGCTCTCTCCAAGTTCATGCATTCTTAATTATTATACTTTAATCTAGTTTTAATTTTTTGTCTAAATTGTTGCATTACTTAATAATAATAATAATTCCCCCGGCCTAGCTAGCTAATATGCACAGGGTCAAAATCTGGTCCCCAGAAAGAACAATAAAATTGTCAATAATTAATGTAGTTATAATGATATCTTTATTCACCCTATTTTACACAAGAAGACATGTTTCTTTGGCGTTATCTGTATTGTAAAGTTTCAAATTAAATTACAGAAAAGAAACTCGTTACTGATACATTAGTTTTTTATAAGTTAATCCGTAAAACCAACATTGATCGATCAATTATTGGCTTATTATATAATTCTTGCCTTTTTTTAATTAGAGCTACTTAATTCACTTGGATAGATTAAAAAAAAATCAATACTCATGTATAACATTATATTATATTCTATATTAGTTTATAATTTAGATAAATTAGTTTAAAAAATTATAAATACAACTGACAATAAATTAAAGTCTTCTATTTATGATCAAACTCAACTTTCTCGCTTGTGCATGTTACAGATTGATAGGATTATTAATTATTAACCTCTTGATCAAATTATTAGGCACTACATATCATAGAAAAGATCTTTTACGACAATTAAAATGGACTTTTTATGACGGTTTTAGAGGCATTGTTTATGCCGTTAAAGTAATAAATTAGAAAATTTAACAGCGGTTACAAAACTGTCAAAGTAAGTAACTTTTTACGATTGTTTTTGAGGTGTTTTACTTTTCTTATAACTGCAGTGAATAAGCGTCTTGAAGAAATTTTTGTAGTGGTGAGAATAGGAGGGAAGTAAAGTAAAGTGGTTTGGGAGCATAAAAAAAAAGGAAAAATACCAAATGAATGGGGGAGAACACGTATATCCACCTGTAGATGGCTCTAATCTTAATAAATGAAATTAATAAATGAAAGCTTGATATATAATTAACATTGCTTGAGGCACTTAAACAATTCCTAGCTGGGCAACGTTGTTGTCCTTATATGATAAGCAACACAGATAGATTCTTAATTAGTACAAATTTTATACCTAAATTGACCATTCCCCCCCACCACCCTAAACGAAAAAACCATTGGCTTACAGTGTTTTCTTCCTTCTCATTCCGCCCACAGTCCCATACCTAAAACCGGAAACCGGTCGCCGGTTTTATCCCCTAAGCCGCTTTTTAATTATCCTCCTCTCTCACCCACACACACCACCATTTCCCGAAAACCAGGAGCTTTCTCTCTCCTCTCTCGCTCTACATTTTTTAAAATTAAATAAATAAAAAAATTTGCATTTGCCAGTGGGCCTTATTCCTCAATATGTGGCGATTCGACCGCACTCTGACACCTTAACGTGCCTGCCACGCGCCTCTTTCTTTCCTCCTTAAATTTTGTACCCATTTGCATGCACCCCTACTGTCCCCTTATCATGCTAAATTACCGTCTGCCCCTTCCTTTGTGAGCCTACCTGTGGTAGATTCCGTGATTTTGGATTAGAGCCGAGGGTGGTTCTGGAAGGGAAATAAGCCACCCTGGCGATCGTATCGGTTTTCTGATTTCACAGTAGAGGTCAGAGCAGAGTGTCCTGTGAGGTGTTCCACGTCAGGAACGCCCCAATAAGAGGGGGTATCTGAGTCCCCATGGTTGGGAGTTGAGAACACGCGCTGTTGTTGAGAGTGGGTTTTGTTTCCCCTGTTTTCTTGCTGCCCTAATCTCCTTAAATCTGGAAACCCATTGTTTGTGGTTTGATTTAATACCCAAAAAAAAAAAAAAAAAAATATTTTAAAAAATAAAAAAAGCTGCGTCCGCAGCACCTGAAAATATATAACCTTACCCACAGCCCCACCTTCCCAATTCACAATCCCACAATCCTCAATTCTCTGGCACCTTCTTCTGCTTCTTCTAGTTTGAGAGGTTGCAGTGAGAATTGCAGTATAAGGCCGTGTTTGCAGTGGATTAAAAGCCCTGAGTCTCAGGCGAATGCTACTGTGTTTCTCGCCAAGTTCTACGGCCGAGCTGGGCTCATGAACCTCATCAACGCCGGTCCTGAACACCTTCGTCCTGGTTAGTTTCTTTCTAATCCAGTTGGTTCATTATTTTCTTGCATTTTCTTTCCAAATCCGGGAAAGTTTGATTGTCTGTATGGAGTTTTGATCTGTGTTTGTTTGTATGTTGCAGCGATTTTTCGGTCTTTGCTTTACGAGGCATGCGGGCGGATAGTTAATCCGATTTATGGGTCCGTCGGTTTGTTATGGTCCGGGAGCTGGCAGCTGTGTCAGGCCGCCGTGGAAGCTGTCTTGAAGGGCGCTCCAATCACGCCGATCACCTCCGAGGCGGCCACCAACGGGAGGGGCCCACCTCTCAAGGCTTACGACATACGCCATGTGTCCAAAGACGAGGCGAACTTGGCCGCGTCAAGCGATGCTCAACGAGTCGTCAAGAGTCGCACGAGGTTCAAGCGCTCCGTCGGCGGCGTCAAGCCGAAAGCCAACGACAAAGCAGAGACCGGCTCGTTAACCGTTAAGCCTGCTCCGCCAGCACCCGACGCTCCAATCAATTCCTGGACCGGTTGTTGTGCTGCTAAACCGGCTGTGAACCGATCGGGAAGCCACGAGTCATCGCTGAGCCACCAGTCGGAGGCAGTTAACGAGAGCAAAGAAAGCGAGAGCATGATCTCCGTGGAGACCGCCGAGACGTCGATCCTCTTCCGAGACGAGCCGGAATTCACCGGCAAGGCCAGCGGACGAACCGTCGAGGAAACAACCGATGTAGGCCTAGAGTTAACACTAGGATTCGAACCGACATCGCCTGCGAACCGCGTGGTACCGGTGAAGAAGAGGAAGATCGAGTTCAAGGATAGTGGGAACTGGTCATCGTGCAAAATGGACCTGGGACTTGAGTTATCGGGTTGAACCGATCCAACTGCTAGTCCACCAGTTTTGTCTTAAATCGGCTTTTCTCAGTGTGTTTATTTTAGATAACAGAAACAAATAATTTGCTTTCTTTTTTTTTTTGGGTTGGACCTCTGAACTCGGTGTTGTACAAAAATGGTGGTTATGTGGGGAGGAAAAAGAGAAGGACAGCGGAAAATGAGGGGCTGAATTGGAAATGAAATCCTTTTTTCTTGCCTGGTGTAACGCGGTGTCGTTTTTCTACTGTGTTACTGAGGGGAAAAGGTTCTTAATTAGGAAGAAAGGACGTGATATAAATAAAGCAAAACCAGTTAGGTCAAGTTTCTTATATTTATTATGTCAAATTTTTTAATTATACATATCATGTATTTATTTTTTGTTTATATGAATTTATAATTAAATATTATTAAATGATAATATTTAAAAAAATATGACACATGATAAAGTGTGATCAGAAACTTGATATAATAAACATAAAAAATTTGATTTTTTTAAATTAAAAAAATCGAGCTCAATCATAAGATGTTTTTAACAAAGTAGTTATCTATTTTTGTCAACTAATTAATACTTTCGATCCTAATTATAAGATATTATTTATAATTTATAAATAAAGTTTTATAATTAGAATCGAAGATAGTTAGTATCATTGATGTTGATTCAAATTCAATTAACAAAACCGGATTATCATTTTGATGCCCCCATTACTAGTGCTAATTAATGTTTACCTCTTAGGGAATGCTTAATTAAACTTTAAGATAAGGTCTTCATGACCAACACACGTAGTGAAACTTCCAAAATTTTATTTACGGGGTGTTTGGAATTGCCGTAAGAGCTTTCAAAAATAATTTTTTTAATTATAATTTATAAAATAAAATACGTGAAAAAAGAAGAAGAAGTTTTGTGTAGGTTTACCGTTTACATGAAAATATTGACAAGCGCTTAAAAAAAGCAGATCCAAATTATGAGTCCTTAATAGGCATGCGTTAACAATATGAAAGTATAAGTTGGATCCAACTTTAAGTAGCCAAGAGTTAATTTTTATAATACTAAATTTTAAATCAATTGGCTAAATTTTCCAAAACTTTAAAAAGTATATGGAAATACCAGGGTATTACCCACCACTGGTTGTACATTGCTAAAAGTTAATAGTGGATTGTTGGATGATAAAATATTAATAGGGCAGCTTGACTTTCGAATTTCGAAAGGTTTTCAAATATATCATGTACAGCCTAAAAATCAAAATATTTCCAAACATTTTTCATAGGCTTCAAACTGATTTTATTTCCCACTATTTCTGATACTTCATAATTAATCTTATTAACTTAAAACTCAACCTCGTTCGAAATTCCAGGCATGTTGTTTTTTCCATTTATAACTTACTACCTCCGGTCCTAATTATAAGAGTCATTTGACTAATTTGAAGAGATTAAGGAAGTAAGTTGAGTTAGTTATTTATCCTAAATAGGTATTGTTTTTCCTAAAATATCTTTACTAATCACGTGTATTGATTAGAACTATCATTATTAGAAGGGTTACTTTAGAAAAAAAATATAAATATGAGAGACAAAATGGATTGGAGTTTTATATTTAGAAATAAAATAAAAGTCAAACAGGATCTTATATTAAGGACCGGAGGTAGTATCTTGTTAAGCACCCGGATTATTTATCATGTTCTCCATATTTTAGGGCCTTTAATTTGTTGTCTTCTACTCAACAGCTGTTGTTAGGGACTAGTTGTCCCACTATTAATGTCACCTGTTATGTTTGGATGAAATCTCAAGTTCGAGCCTAATATTGATATGCTTATATATGCGCATGTGTTAATTCTATTAAATTAAAAAAAAAATAGTGTCTCAACAAGACATGCTTTTAACTTATTCAGTTAAAAAGTATTTAAATAAAAAATTAAACAATTTGCAAAAAAAAAAAAAACTGTATGATCAAAGTTATATGGAAAAGGTATTATATTTTACTTTTTTTTTTATGTCATATGGACATTCATGATTTATTATTACTGTGGACGGAATCAGTGAGCATGATGTCCAAATTCTATTCAACTGAAATGAAAAAGATATATATATATATATATATTTATATATCTATATGTATATATATGGGGTACATTGAACTCTGCCAATGTTTCTCAATAAAACCATGCTGTTCAAAATTAAGTAGAGGGACTGTTGGCCTAGAAAAGTTGACTTCTTGTGTTTATAAATATAAAGTTGAATTATTAGCAATTTTATACAACTAATTTTTCGGTGCATAGTGGGCTAAAATTTTTGTTTTAGGCCAGAAATTAGATAAATCATATCAATCATTATGGTTTAAGGTTTTGTATATTCTTCCGTGTCTATAGAGCTAACCGAAAGTTAGCCCTCAAAACCAATGCCGGCAGCACACGGATTTTGAAAAACGTTGTGTGTTATTTCTCTGTTTATTTCCTTTTTCATATTTCTTTAAATTCAATTTTTTAAATATATTTTTACACTGCGACAGCTTTTCTGAAGGGGAATACTTATGTAGAGTTCCTTATAAAATATGATATATATATATATATATATATATATAAAACTATGTGTGATTGGATAACCTAACATAATAGATATAAAGAATTTGATCTAAGCATTTTTCTTTTATGAACCTTTATGATTTTTTATTTGGCTAAATAATACTCTTTTTGTATAAAACTTTATTCAAAATTTTAATTTGCTCCCTTAATTAAAAATTATTTTTTAATCCTCTAACCTAATACTATAAATCCCAAATAATGAATTTTGTGCCAATTATTTTTATATAAAACCTGAGAGGAGAGTATGAGGTAATAAAGGAAGAAGTAAAGTATTATTCTTATGACAACTTTTGAGAATAAATTTTAAGAAAAATTATAAAAATATATCACTTAAATTTCAAAATCTCAAATTATAAATTACTATCAAAATGTATTGTCATTTGCTTTTTAAGTATAATCAATTACTATTAAAGTATAGTAAAAAAGACTGCTTTGAAATTTTAAAATTCAATAAGTATCTTTCTGGGATTTCACCAAAATTTTACACTATCACTTAATCACTTCGGCTAAGCAAGACATAAGCTTAGATCAAATGAACTGAAGTTAATTAACAAATTGGTAGAAAGTCACACTGCAAAACTACATGCAGGTAGTAAAGGAAAACCTAGCATTACAATAATCCCCTAGAGCATGTAATCTCGTATTAAATGCATTGATGAATGTTAGTTTTGTTAATATTGATTTATAACAGTTGTAAGTGATGATTTGATTCTATGGCTCTCTCTGTCTCTAGTAAATACACTATGTACAATAGAACTACTCAAGTAACGTTTCAATTTAAGCTTACTTAACAACAATTATATGAAGCCCTTAGATATATATATATATATATATATATCTACATTAGTTACAAATTAGAAGGTTTCCTTAATTCATGCTCCATGGTGGCCGGTAATATTTTAGTAGAAAATAGTAAACAAGATTAATTGAAACTACAATTAAGCACAAAAAAATGGCGAACACAAGTTTTAATCCAGAAATAGGTTCACAATAGCTCTAAATTAAGAGGAAACTAACCACACACAACAAAATACAAAGCCAAATCCAAAGTTAAAACTATCATTCTGGAGAGAAAAAGAGAATAGAAACTTCAATCTCCCATGGAATCTATAAGTCCCTCCAAACCTCTCCAGCGCCTCTTTTTTCTCTTGTGTAGTAGCCTCCAAATTGTCCCCTTATTATGTTGTCTGCCAAACAAAATGCCTAGAAAATGCACATTAAAGTGTGGTTATTATATTGAAGAGTAATTAATCCTGAATCCCCCTTTTGATAAAGGGAGAATAGATGTTTTATTAATGGATGAACAAAATCTCTGGAAAATTTATAGGAATAGAGAGCCAAAAAAAAAAAAAAAGGTGAAATAATGGAGCGATCTCCCTTTGCTGCACTTCCCCTATAATTTCAGGAGATCTTAAGGTTATTGTGAAATTTGATTACGAAAACAAAATTAGGTAGGATACAGCACAAGTTGAGATGATTATATTTTCTTATTTGAGGCGAATTACAGCACTTGTCACACTCATTTTGAATAAAATATGCAATAAACGAAAATATAAAGTGAATAAATCGATGCAACCACGGTAATACAAAGAGGGCCAAAATAAAAAAATACACCCAGTTGAGGAAACAATTCCAGAAGCTCGGGGCCAGTTAACAGAAAAAGAACCCAACTAGAGGTGGCCCAAAATATAAATCCAGTCCAAATTGAAATGTCTAATAGACTGAAACAAACAAAAAGTCCACTAGCTCTAACCATGAGCATTCAAAAGAAAGACTACAGTAGACCAACTGGGGTTGGGTTTGACGGAAAGAACTAGTTCTTCACAATATGATGAAACAAGGTTCGAATCTTTATTGGGAGAGGTGCTCACATTTAGTGCCCGACAGTGTCTCGAATAGGATTGCTTCCAATAAGAGGATACGTATGCTTTAGCAAAAAAAAAAAAAACAGAAGACGATAGTGGGAAAATTAAAATTATAAATGAAATTCCAAAATCAAGATAAAAATAACAGAAATTCAATAAAATTATTTTTATGTATTTTTTATATTTTGATGTCTTTATTTTTTTAAAAAAAAATCCAAACAAAACGCGACGTCTGGAACATTGCTTGGCATCCATTTTCGTTTTGGTTTATCCAATTTATGATTTTTATTGGGTTATCCAAGTTATGATTTTTCTAGTTTTTTAAAACCATATACAATTAATGAGTTGAGGATTGAATCATCCAATATCTTGTTCAACCGGTTGGGCTGAAGTGAAGTGATACAGCTCGGCCCATTCATTTGTAAGCATGTTTAAGCTACAACGAATAGTCTAATACCACATTGTTTGAGCTAATTATAACAGGTTAAGCTACAAATTTATCTTAAAAATTTAAAATCAAAGCAATATTGTTCTAGCATTAAAAAATTAAAATTCACAATTAAAATAGTGATATTGACGGTTAATATTTTTAATGGTAACGGATAATATTGCTAGGATTTTGAACTTTCAAGATGAATTTATACCTAAAAAAATTTCAAGTGTCTAGCGCTTCTAAATAAAAAATTTTAGGACAAATTGGCACTTTAACCCAATGTATTACAAATTTATCTATACCATTCAATGTTATGCAACTATATGATTGTATAACTGAAAGATCCTAACTGAAGCGAGCTATTCGAAATTTATTTTCGTGTGACTAGCTAGTATTCGGTAGAATTGATCAAATTCAAATATTATCAGCCATAAATAGAGAGTAGTTTTTTTTAAT